TTACATACTCTATGCACTTCTGAGGACATCACATTCTTACGTAGCAGCTAAAATAATTATGAAAGCCAGGGTGGTGTGGTAGATGGAGTAATGGACTAAGTGTTAGATCAGGCTTGAAGTCCCTGTTTGTCCATGGAAATTCATTGGCAGTGATGAAATCACACCTTAAATATTCCACATACCTTGAAAAACCCATTCAGATCAGTGTAAGTTGGATGTGACTTGATAGCACATAACAAACAAAACAGCTGCTATTGTGTTGTGACTACGAGAACTGAGCTGGTAAATGCTGGACATAATTTCCCCTCAGCCAAACACTTAATTATTGAGCAGCTTTAGACTTACTGCTATTTCTTAGTTTTGGCTACTGTCGAAGCAGTTGTGCAAGCCAATCCACCTAATGGTGTACAGACAAATGGATTCTATGGAACTGGGTTACATTTCATTGGGCAATGACTGGAAACCATTTGTATCAAGTGAAACGAGCAGGCAAAGCAGGAAATAATTCCAAAAATGCCCATTTCTCCCGTTTCCACAGAAAGCTACTTCCTCTTCTAGGATGGGCTCTGTAGGTATATTCTGGTCAGGTGGTTCACAATGTCAGAAGTGAGGATTCTGGAAAGCTCCCTACAGGGCAAGCTTCACATTTAGGCCAGATGGGCTTACTGAGAGAAGCTGAGTAATCTGGCCATGACTGATGCTTCATAGAATTGGACAGACAAATCTCTGGTTTAAGCCTAGCTTCCATGGAAGAAGCCTGTTAAGAAGTTAAAGCACATTGTGGGAAGATGTACTCCTTCAGATGCTTTGGTACTGAAATGTCCATCATCCTGCATCATTGTGCTGGCTACTGCTATTGGCGCTAATGGCTACCAGGGCCACAGAAGGCTCAGTGGACATTGGAATCTACATCTCCTGGTCCCAGTTTGATACTCTTAACACAGCCAACAATAGTTCTTGACATGGATTTGTCTTCGTAACTCTCCCAAAGCAGTTTCTTAGATCTTACATGAACCAATAAGAACAATAAGTACAACTTGGATCTTGGTAAAGTAAGACTGAAGGTGTACTGATTTTCTACCAGAATGATCACTACAACATTGGGCTCTTTCTATAGACAACTGCTTCCACTGAGCAAGGATGCCCTGGCCTGTATAGAAGATGAAATTTCAAGCTGCATTAGAACAGGGTGACCACCAAGGATAACTTTTCTACATGAAAGTGTTAGTCACAGGTACAACCTGTACCCCACCACACACAGAGAACTGATTGTAATGCACAGCTTGCAGGAGTCCCAGTGCACCTCCATTTTTCTCCTGTTGTTAATTTTCTCACTTGAAAGGAGACAAATGCTCCCCTCCATTGCCCCTCAATAACACCAATCTCTCTGGTTCTCTCTTTATTAACTTGGTATATGCTGCATGTCCCACTCTTTATCCTAATGGCTTAGACTCAGCTGCCACAGGGATTTATCTCAAGTATGTGCTTTGCATGCTCATGGAAGTCATCTCCAAGGAATCTTTATGGTACATTAGAGAGATGTTGCTGCTGTTGCTGGTCTTGTAATTTTCTGCACGACAATAATAAATTTCCCTGAGAAATAAATGATGGAACCATGAAAAGGAGTCTGTATTATAAAGGCACCTGGGATGGAACAATAGAGAAGTGAATAGAAGGCTTCTAGTTAGCCCAGGCGGAGTTTGAAGCCCTTAAATTTATGCTGATTTCAAGGTTGCTACACATTAAAATATACAGTATAGGAAGTTTCCACATTTGAGAAGTGGGTGGGGGGAAGCCAGCTCAGATTTTAGCCCATCCAGGTCTGTTTGTGATCCTTTGGCAGCTTCCTTTGAAACCATAGGACTGACATTACACTAATCTGACTTGTTTTTCAGAGGGGGTGTAACTTAATTTCAGCAACAGGCATTGACTAACTAAAAATATAAACATGAACAAAAGCAAAAGAATATGTTTAAAATCAACAGAAAATGACATACAGTAATATGTGTTAAGCCCCTCCTCCATCCCACTGCCATTGTACATATAACTGTTGTTGTTGTTTAGTCGTTTAGTCATGTCTGACTCTTTGTGACCCCATGGACCAGAGCACGCCAGGCCCTCCTGTCTTCCACTGCCTACTGGAGTTGGGTTAAATTTATATTGGTTGCTTTGATGACACTGTCCAACCATCTCATCCTCTGTCGTCCCTTTCTCCTCCTGCCTTCACACTTTCCCAACATCAGCATCTTTTCCAGGGAGTCTTCTCTTCTCATGAGATGGCCAAAGTATTGGAGCTTCAGCTTCAGGATCTGTCCTTCCAGTGAGCACTCAGGATTGATTTCCTTTAGAATGGATAGATTTGTTCTCCTTGCAGTCCAGGGGACTCTCAAGAGCCTCCTCCAAGACCACAATTCAAAAGCATCAGTTCTTCGACGGTCAGCTTTCTTTATGGTCCAGCTCTCACTTCCGTACATCACTACAGGGAAAACCATAGCTTTGACTATTCGGACTTTTGTTGGCAAGGTGATGTCTCTGCTTTTTAAGCTGCTGTCGAGGCTTGTCATCGCTTTCCTCCCAAGAAGCAGGCATCTTTTAATATATATATATAACTACCTGTATGTAAATGTCCAGTAGATCCATATGGCAGTAGGCACCTCTCTTTGTATTTACCCAATTTTCCACCTCTCTTTGTATTTATCCAATTATCCAAGCTGCAAGGTAGGCTTAAGATATTTTGCTGCCTGAGGCCAAGTACAGAATGTAACTTCTTCCTTTTTAATGTACAAAAGCTGGCTGGACTGGCAGTTGATTCTTTCTTCCAAACAGAAGGTGGGGCAGTGCCCTGCACCACACTAGAAAGCAGAAGGCTAGCTTAGAGCGCAAAGGGTGGGCCACTTGGCAGATGACACTGTTCTCCAATGTCTTGCTGCCACATCCAAGCATCTGCTTCCTGATGTGACTGTCTCACTTTCTCATACAGCAGGCCTGGCCCTTTCGTACAGGAATGTGGGACTGTCAGGACAGATACTGTATAAACAGCATCCAACACAGTGTTACTGTTTAGTAGCTCCCAAAGCTCTAGGGTAGGTTCCTTAATCTGATCTCCCTCTAGCTGATTTCTACCTTCATCTAGTCCTATTTCTTTGGTGTAATACCAGCCAACCAATCAACCAACTAAGCAGCCACCAGCACCAAACAAACACAGTAAAAATATCCCAAATTCTAAATGGTCAATGCTACACAATACTGCACTCACTAAGATCACAATGTTTAGTTCACTACATTGAGTTGTACCAAGTAGACCAGATGAGTGCATGGGTGTGTCACCCTGGGTTGGTGCTACTGTGCCATCTACCTCCACAAGCAGTTTCATAGTACCTTTGTCTTAATTATTCAAGAGCAGTGAAAGAATGTGGGAAATAATATGGGTTTGGGGTACACTGATTTGATCATATGATGCAATGGGAAATATAATTTTACACAGTGTCCTACACTCCCAATCTGTATTTTTTCCTCAGATTCTTTCACTTTGGTTCAAATTGTATGATCTGAAATCCTGGAGCTGACACTGGAAAGTACACTTTGGTACACTATGGTAGATTTGGGGTGCATCCTAACTATGGAAGATGAAATGGGATTGACATGTGTCCTACATGATGAAGCAAAATGCGCATGATGATCACACACAACCCATAACCATTGAGAAGTACTTACAACCAAAGCACAAATGGAAACACATTTGCATAAATTACACAGCACCAGATAAATAAGTACATCAAATCAAAATTGGTTCCTGCTAATAGATAATTGGATATATTTTGTTCCATGAAATGTTTGTTCTGAATATCTCACTCTACTCCAGAGACATCCACTGCAAACCTATGAAAGTTGACCAATCCTAATTGGGTAATTGCATTTTACCTACCTGGCAGTCCATTCTTGTTTTTTGGCTGGCTACCTTGTAATACAAAAGCACTGTGATCATCAAGAACCTGGTCAAGCAGAACACTAGCATATAGGTAACATTTCCCATTGTCTTTATCATAGTTATGACATGGAGAGCTTTCTTTGGTTTCTGTCTCCTCTGCCTGCCTCCTCTCCCTCACTCAAACTGCTTTCCCCTTTCTTTTCCAGCACTTGTCACAGTAACCATTATGTCTACACTGAAGTTAACAGCAACTGCAGTTACTGAGTAACATTTACGTGCTTTCAAGCATTGTTTTCAAAACTGTTTAATGCTAACCATAATTTGCATGAATTTTTGTGCAGACAGAATTAATGCTGATTAAGGTGAAGAGGCTGGGAAACGTGACATCTGCATTGGGCTGTGTCTTGGTGGGTAACTTTTGGCTCATGGTAACATTTCCAAAGTACTCCAGTTTCAACAGTGAACAAGCACAACTATGTTACCTAGAAAAGAAAGATTGCTGATACAGATTTGCTTTATAGCTTTCACCCCAATGTTTTAATATTTCATTCTTGGTGTTGGGTTCATATGGACTGAAAATAATGCACAGTGAGCCAGTACAACCACAGCATGGTTTTACAGAGAGACAAAGCTAAAATTATGGATTCAAATTTCCAGTGCCCAGGAAAGAGCAGTGCAAGCTTTTTTAAAAAAGGCATATGCATAACTCAGTATCACCTTTAAGCTTTTCAGTATGCATTAAGAAACCTGGCCATTGGTGGTATACCTTGCCATAATTTAATTTATTATCGCTGGTGAGGCATAGGTGTGAGTTATTTTCATTAAAGGTTTCTCCAAGCATGAGCTGAAAAGGATGGAGAAAGCAGTATGCAGCATATTGAAACAAATGGATCACACCACCAATTGGCTGCCTTCATTTGAAGGCTCTCATTAAGCTTCAAGCACATTGGAGTGTTGAAAGCTTGTAGAAAGGGTGCTCTTTTTGAAAGTGGCACTCACATGGCAACATGGAGAAGTACAAGCAGCAAGTGGTAGAGGGAGGAGGGAGGGGTGAAGTAGGGAAATTACTTACATTGACAACCCTGGTTGTGCCAGTAATATCCCCGCAGACACTTATCACACTTAGGCCCTGTTGTTCCCTGCTTACACTCACAAATTCCTTTTTCATTACAGCGATCACGGACTGAGCCAATATGGCTACAATTACATTCTGCAGAAACAAGACAAGATGTATGAACTCAGGATAGGGAAGAAGAAGGTAAATCATTCATCACTGAACTATAACTATCAAGGAAGATCACCTAAAGATGACAGAAAAGGAAGGACTGCTTGAAAGTCTGCTTGTTAATCGAGAAACATGAAATAATTAATATAATATCAATCAGATTAATATTAATAGGGATATTAATTAAAAATTAATACACATTAATATTAGTCATTACTATATTATATTGATTATAGTTCACAGCTGAGCCATGCCACTGATCTAAGATGTGGCACTACCAAAACAGAATACCACAACATCCATCATCATCATCATCATCATCATCATCATCATCATCATCATCATCATCATCATCATCATCATCACTACTACTATTGCTATTACCTTTTAAAAAAGAGAATAGCAAAGAAGAAGAGAGATATCATATATGGGTAGAATTCTGGAAGTGGGTTGCATTTTGTAATCTGGAATTAAATGTAGGTCTGAAAATGCAGGAAATGAGTGGAGATAAAGCAAAGGATGAAGTAATCAAAGCCTTCAGAAGCAACTGTGGCAGAACTTCCAATTCATGTTTTTAGATCTAGTAAACCATTTCTGAGCACTCTATACCTTGAAAACCCTGGAATGGCTTGCTCTGGATCTGACTTGACTTGACAGCATGTAATGATTATTAATGAATATCAGAAAAGCTTGGTATTTCAAGTAACATCAATAAGCTCTCAATTAAAATATCTTAAATTATTAAAATAGGCGTGTAAGACTCTGTACTTGATGCATCCTGCTCCATATTTTCTAAATGGACTCAAAATGCACACTAATTTCCAAGATGATCCCCCTTTATGTTTGCGACCATTATCTTAATATATTCATGGCATTTTAGCAGTTGGAGTTTACGGGTTTTATTTCTTTGGGAGATAATAAGGCATTTTTAGAGTTATCCCATTTCATACAAGGCGAGAATGCACAGGGGAATCAGAGTCTCCCAGAACCATCCTTTACAGTGATTTGGACTTGAGCCTACCATTCTCATTTCATGTCAGAGATAAGAATATAGAGGTTGGTAAATGGTGCAACAAGGATATTTTGAAACTATGTTTTTTTAAAAAATATAAATAAGGTGCATTTTTAATATACTTGACCAGTTATACTGAATTGACTTTCTCCCTGCCTTCTTTTTAGTCTCACAATTTCTTGGACAGCTTCATGCAGGAAGGTGGGCCATTGGATAATTCCAAGTGAGGTCTTCAGTGACACTTCTTAATGCAGGGTGCTGGCATAGTCCTCATAGATGGCAACTATATTCTATATTCTATCTAGCCAGAGGCTGTTGAGGAACCTAACCTGGCCACAGCTGAAAACTGCTAGCTCTAAGCCAAAATTGTCGTGCAGATAATTTTTTAATTTGGTGTGTCTCTCTGTTTTTAATGTAGGCTTGGATTGCCAAAAATGCTATGCTGTTGTTTACTTCTGAACATTATTTTCCTGCCTTGTTTATCTTTCTCTTAAAACGGGTCCTTCTTTGAGGACCTGGTTTTGATTGTAGATGCACATGCGCAGATGGAATGTTTGACTTTAGGTTGAAAGTACGGTCTCCCATACCCTCATGTCTCTTGTTATCAAATGAAAAATACTGCAAGCATTCCTTTTGAATCTGGACAGCATGCTGGGTGAACAGCTCTGTTTTTCTTCTAATCATCCCATCTGCAATTGTCTCCTGGAATTTCATTAAGAATCAATGAGATCAGAAAATGATAAAACAGGAGGAGAAAACTTCAAAATATATTAACATTGCAAATAGAAAAAAAAGAGGCAGAATTTTAGGAGCAGGTGGGAAACTTAAGGGAGAAATGGTATGAATAGCAAATATCACACCTGTAACTCAGGTTTTCAAATCTTACAGATGTCCTCCAAAGAAAAGAGAAAGTTACAGTTCTATGTCTTACCTAACAGTAAGTCCTATTGACTTTAGCAGAACTTTCATCCGAGTGGGCAATTATAGGAATACACATTAAGTCCTAATGGAGATAGGCTTGCCCAAATGTACACAGTAATTGTCCTTGTCATCACCATCATCATCATCAGGTTTTCAAAGACAAATGAATGTATTTCATATCAGATGTTACGTGTGGAGAAAAACTTGTTATAAAGATAGCATTTGACTGGCATTTTAAGAAAACATCAGAATTCATGTCCTCCCTAAAGTCAACTATAGTTTGGCATTGCCTTTTAATAACATTTCACTAGCTATAATGCATTCCAATAAAGTAAGGTGAGCATGTGCCAAACAAATATTAAGGATTAGACATGTTATCCATGTAGGTAAAGGTAAAGGTAAAGGTTCCCCTTGACAATTTTTGTCCAGTCGTGTCCGACTCTAGGGGACGGCGCTCATCCCGCTCTTCAAGCCATAGAGCCAGCGTTTGTCCGAAGACAATCTTTCCGTGGTCACATGGCCAGTGTGATTTAGACACGGAACGCTGTTTACCTTCCCACCGCGGTGGTCCCTATTTATCTACTCGCATTTGCATGCTTTTGAACCGCTAGGTTGGCGGGAGCTGGGACAAGCGCCGGGTGCTCATTCCGTTGCGTGGATTCGATCTTACGACTGCCGGATCTTCTGACCCTGCAGCACAGGCTTCTGCGGTTTAGCCCACAGCGCCACCACGTCCCTTCTTATCCATGTAGACTGAAGCTGAAATCCTGTTGCGCGGTTACACAAATAACATATCTTTTACATGTGAATTGCCTAACATTCAGAAATCTCTAATGCACACCAAGTCACGGTATATATTAGATCATGTCTACAGCGAACAGAGGTCTTGTAACTTACAGCAATTTGCTTCCAAAAGTTACACTGTTTGTGTAAGTGCTCCAAGAGATTTCAGCTAGTATTTCTAAATTGCAAGCAAAGGCAGAAGAAGGTCTGGTTTTACAGGCTTTCCAGTATGGCACAATAAATATATCTATACAAAAGGCTCCTTAGAGTTTCCTGTTTATAAAGATAACTCCTGGCATGATTCATGGTTCTCGCCTTGCAATCACCTTTCCCTGGCAGGGAATGGGTAATTCTGTTGTATCTTTTGATCATTCAATCAGCCTGGATGCAGAGAAAGTGCTGCTAAATGTTCAGATGGGGTTGCCTGCTGTGTCTGAACATTAGTCACTAGACTGAATTTTCCTTCTTTTAATTAGAAGGCATAACCAGAACAGTCATCGAAGAAGAAAGACAGGCGGATATGTTGTACAGAGATTCTTTACTCTTTCAGAATATTTCCTAGAATTTAAAGGGAAAAATGCCACCACTTAAAATCCGGGGGCTTAAAAAATGCATTCCCAAACTGTCCAGTGTTTGAATAATTTTGGAATACAGTATACTACTATGCAGAACAAGGACCTCATGTAAACCATTGTAGAAATTAGTGGAATCCTGTGCTGTGACAGTAGAGTGAATTGATGGGATGTTACCCAATAAACATGGTTTCAAAATGCTGGGTTAAAAGATATACTCAACTTGATTATACATATGGGATGGCTTATCTGCATGAAAACCACTTCTGGCATATTGGAAAAGTAGCAAATCAGGAAACAAAGGTTCCAGACTAGCTCTTTGCCTGAAATGCTCATTTTCTACTTGCAAGTACATTTCTTTTTAACAGTGAGAGATAGTGTTCAAGCAAGGATGTCAAGATTCACAGTCTAGAGCACAGGTTCACAACCTGTGGGTCATGACCCCCAAGCAGATCACAAAGTGTTTTGTGGGAGATCATCATGGTTATTTTTAGTTGCAATTATTTTTATAGAAATTTCACCACAAAGGTTTTTAACACTTAATTATTTCAATTGATTGACAAAACATATGTGCCAATCTTGTCACAGAGTCATGGCTGCTGCTGGACCAATGCGTGCCTTCTATTTCTATTCTTAGTGTGTTTCTTTACCCCATTAAAAATGCCTTTTTATGCAAATGTGGTAGTGGTGGGACGCAGGTTACCTGGCTATTATAAAAGAGTGTCATGACTCAAAAAAGATTGGGAAACACCAGTCTCGAGGGTTTATAGTCTGAGCAGTGTGGTTTCACATGATTATTCCAAATCTGTTGATTGGTTCTTAATTTTTCTTCCCTGGGACAAGAAAGCAAAAACAGAGTAAGCCAAGCATATGCTTGGGTATTTCCCTATATTCTGGAAATGTTTCAGGGAGTAATGCATACAACCAGCTTCTCAACCACTGCTGTACGTTCTGCTTCTGCTGCTCACACCTGTGATGAAAAGGAGCCTCAGCCAGCAAAAAGCTTTCCCTCAAGGATAGTTTCACATCTTGCTTTTGTCACTTCCTTAGTCACCTACTAGTCTGACAACACGTTAGCATGAACTGGTGGAAAGCAGTGAGGCACATGAAATAATTCTTCCACTGAGGATAGGACAATGTGTGACTGTGATGTTGGGTGGGTGAGTGGGATGCTGGGATAGGACAATGTGTGACTGTGATGTTGGTGGGTGAGTGGGATGCTGCTATCTATTTCTATGAAAAGCCTGTGCACATGGAGGAGTAGGGCCACAGCTGCCTTCCTGCAGACGAAACCGGAAGCAGACGTGGGCTATAAGGCTGCTGTCATGGGTGGGTCCAGGGGAAGCTGATCACTTCAGTTTTATGAAGGCAGTGAATCAATGCCTGGTTTTAGTCTGGATAGGGTTCAGCACCTTTGATAATTTCTATAAAGTTCAGATTAAAGCACAAATTCACTGCCCCTGAGAAACAGGAGTTACCACCATCCAATGGGGAGGTCATGGTATTGGACTGAGCAGGTAGGGCACCTCCATCCTAAATTCTAGGTGACACTCCCTACTCATTAATCATGAGTTGTCTATGGCTGCAATGAATGGCATGTATTTATAAATCAGGGCAAACATGATTAATACATACAGAGGGAGTGTACTAAATTGTAAAAATATTTGAAGAAAATCTGTCAGCACTGATTTTAATAT